CAATCAGAGGACAATGGATATGGCCATTATTATTCATTGCGGCTTGCACTACACATGAGTTTTGCCCATGTGACAATGACGATACCGACAAAGCCGAGTTATTGATGGTTGGTCACATCCCACCCTCAACCCTAAGCAATGTACCCGGGGTGGGGAAAGGGGAGACGGTGAAAAAGGAAGTCTATGTTATTTCTAAAGTGTTCACTTGCATATTATTTATTTCCATTTGTTTCGTTATGCAACATACAATTTCAAAATTCGATGGCACGGGGATTGGGCGGGGCCTAGCCAGGTGTAGGGGGAGTACACGACCTACTCTTCATCCACTGGTCTAAAAATGATACACAGTCTGATTCTGTTTGTGGAAATGTGCTAGATTCATGAACAATACCAATTATACAAGTTCTTACTCAAAACAAAGGAAAACACTGAAAATACACTTATCAAGGTATTTGTGAAATTTACCATTTTTGGAGCGCTACTGCACAAATGATATACAATAATCCAAAGTTTTCTCACCAGATATGAAAAGACCAATGTCTGAACTAACCATAACCGAAGGGAAATTATTCTGAGTGCCCGGGCAAGTGCCATTTTGGAGGGATAAAAATGGGGTAAAGGATGCAATTTTGTTAGTTGTAAAAACGTGTTGTATTTTAGGGCCAAAAAATGATATAAAGGAGATATTTCAGAAGTGTTTCTATTTTGTTTTTCTTGTAAGGGTAAGGATGATACTTTGTCATGACATAATTACTTTTGTGACATTACTTCGCAGTGTGGCTTGATGACCTTTGAAAATAACGCAAAAAAATGAATTTTTGCAGCTTCAAAATTGCCCAAAAATTGCCAAAACACATAATAGCCCGTAACCATGGCAACTGGCAAAATATCGGTCTATAAATTGTATTTTAGTTACTTCCAAAGTCCTCTATCCCACAAAGTATTAAACAAAGTATTGGTGATGACATCAACGCTCTTGATGGCTGCTTGTTGAAGGAGATCGCACCTCAACTGCTGCATTTTCATTCCTGCTTGCTGGGCAGCCTGTCTGTCTCCGACACGTTGTTGCACTCTTGAATTGTGTGCGCAAGAAACTCCTCGAATCTCTCTCGCGTCACAGTTTCGAATGCGATTCGGTGGTGCACCGAGCCTACTTCACTAGAGACAGCGAAGGTGACATTGCAATTTCTCCCTCGTTGTCTGTCGACGACTCGTCTTGCAGCGATCCCTCGTGGAGCTCTACCCTGGGAGCGTCGAGTCCAGACGTTATAACCTGTCTCGTCAATGAAGACTAGATGCGCCAGAACACCATGCTGCAGGAACCACTCACCATACTGGACGCGTTTATCAAGAATTTCAGGGGAATTTCTTGCATGGGACGCCCTCCACTAGTTTCAGTGTAATCATCATCCCATCCAAGGCCCTGGCTATGGTGGCAGTAGAAACCTAGGGCTTCTCATCCCTTTTTATCAGTTCTTTTTTTTTCAGCCCTTTTTATCAGCCCTTTTCCGGATTTTTTTACTTGGATGGGAATTCCATTTGTCTTTAGTCCTGTTTATACAGTTCTGTGGGTGCCATTGTTTTGGTGCGTTTTTTCTTTTTGGTGTGGAGGGGGTCTCCTTGATATTTTCCAGTTTTGGGGTTTGTTTGTTTTTTTCATTTCGGTTATCATTATCGATTTCTATCTGAACCTTTGTAATTTTACCTTAATTTGTAATCAGGGGTACGGATGAGCACATCATTTGATGCCAGTTTTTTTACTTTTGTTCATTCCGTGACAGCCCCTGCTTACATTTTAGATTGTACTTATGAACTATCTAAAGATTTAAAATAAAAATAAATAAAATAAACTAGCCTTCATTTGTTGAAGTGTCAAGACGGGATTAGCGTCAAGGGTGCCTTGCAGATGGTTCCGCATGTCATCATCCATCTTGCTGTGGGTTGCTCCTCCTCTTGCCAGCGTCTCTCGCCTTCCAGTCCTCAAATATGTTGCAACAATTGATCTGGCTGTGGACTTGTTGATGTTCAAATTGACCGCAAGCTCAAGGTAGTCTTCCTCGTTTCCCTCGAAGGCCATCAACCTTTCTCGATCTACCTGGGCCACTCTAGTGTAGCAACCACGAACTGCCATTTCTAGAAATATGCGTGTAAAACTGTAGCGAAAGCTCGTCTTCGAAGTGCATCGGCAAAGTGACTCAAGTGCCAAAAAGTGAACCGTATTTATGCCTTCAACATTCTTAAGGAAACAAAAATTTAACAAAGCGTTTTTTAGATTGCACAAATTCCAGAAATGACTGCCCAAAAATGAATTTGAATGACTAAACACACGCCTCAAAAAGCTCCTGCGAATTGGAATGCTGCTTTGTTGAATTGTTAAATTGCATGATTATTTTGTTAAATCGAATGACGCAACAGTACATTTGACTGATCATAAAACGAAATCGAATGACCCTTTTCAGTAGCATTTGATTTCGCGCGAAATAGAATAGCGTAGTGGTTAAATTGGCTGCTCCTTTGCCGAAATTGACCGAGAAAACATATTTTAGGCTAATATGTGACTTTTTTTCCCATTTTTACCAATATGCCGGCCTTATTAGATACCACATTGGCCGCCATCTTTAATTTGAAGCATGACAGGGGAAAAAAGGATACCAGAAATGAGTTTTTGGGGGTCTTAAACATATAACTAACTATTTAATTCATACTTTTATCACATTATTTGGCTGATATATGTCTTTTTTACAGTTTTAACAAACTTAGGGCGGCCATATTGGCCGCCATCTTTGATATCTCCTTCGCATCGGATTTTTTTTACTGTTAACATCCAAAATGTGTTTTAGGACCCTAAAGGGCACCCAAAAAATTGGTGAAAGTTAGTTCTGGGGGATGCACGGGGGTCCTCCATACATAACTCGTGGATCCCAAAACGCGTTAGTAATTCGTGGGAACGAGTTGGTAATTCGTGCGAACGAATGAGTTATTCGTGCGAACGAAATAGCAATTTGTGGGAACGAAATAGCAATTCGTTCGCACGAATTAGCAATTCATGCGAACGAATTAGTAGTTCGTGTGAACGAATTAGGACATTCCAAAAAAGTCCACCCTGTCCCTTCCCGGGCTTCATAATATAGCAATTCGTGGGAACGAAATAGCAATTCGTGCGAACGAATTAGTAATTCGTGCGAACGAAATAGGAATTCGTGCGAACGAATTAGCAATTCATGCGAACGAAACAGCAATTCGTGCGAACGAATTAGCACATTCAAAAAAAAATTCCACCCTGTCCCTTCCCGGGCTTCATATCAGATCGCTGGTTGCTATGTGTAACCAAGTACCATTAACGCGCATGCGCACATACTAATTGGCCACCGTGAACATAGTCTGGTTCCCAGACCAAAAGATTCTGACTATTCCTTATGAATCTTAAGTCCGGTAGCCTCCAGTAATACATTGTATTACAATTTACGTCACGTTACTAAAACGGGAGGAATTCCTCCTTTTTCCGAAAATTTCCGAAGTTTGCCGAAGTCGTTTCGTCGACAATCGGATAGCGCCCGAGTATTTCCGAGTAAATAATTCTGGTTTAATTAACTGATAATTGCTTATTAATTTTATTTTTATTGAGTTGATAATTAATATTCAGTGCTTTCATTTAGAAAACTTGAAATTCACTCGATTTTTTGCATCAAATATACTCGGATCGCATAGGCGAACTTTTTGCTGCGTCATGTGCAATTTTGAATTTGACGACGGTTGCTGAGATTTTCGAAAACTCGGTCTTTATTCGGCTCCGCCTGCTAACAGTGCTATTTGGGTGCCTAATTTTGAAGATTCCAGATCAACATTAGTCAATGTTATATTACAGAAACATCAAACTGTATTATCATAACTGTATGATATTACGAAGCAAGTGATTTATTTAAAATTTTGATCAGAACATTAAAAGCTACAAGCGATAAAGGGAAATCGGAAACGAAGCCGAGCTTTGAAAAAGGGCAATCCATGTCGTCATGTTTATTTTTAGCCGCGGAGGCTGCCTGACCTAAGATTCATCAGGAATAGTCAGAATCTTTTGGTCTGGAAACCAGACTATCGGGAACATACGTGAATGTTGCTGTTGTGGGGGATCGCCACACCTCCTCCTAAGCGAGTCTGTTACCTTCCCAGCATTGAATAATGCCGGTACCCATTCAACACCTGGATTGAGGGGATTAATTGAGGTAAAGCACCTTACTCAAGGGCACAACACGCATGGCCACGGCAGGGCTCGAACCCACAATCCCACAATCGAAGTTGATATTACTCTTGTGAGCACTGAACACTCGTGTATAGGTCTATTCTGTATAACACATGCCTTCTGACAGAGTCCTCTTGACTAAATGCCGTTGGGGTCTTACCAAACCACCTGATAGACAGTAATTTCGCAGCTGTTTCATTTTCAGTCCTTTTTTTTAGTTAATCAAAAAAGAAACTCGGATAATTTCTGGTTGTTTGCTTTGCTGCACTAGATGTCGTTCATAATGAACAATAATGCATGCATTTTTATGTGCGTTCTGACAATGTCTATTTTTATAATTCACGCAGGGTGCTTATATAAATAACGCAATGTTCCAAAGTCCAACATTGAAGTGTTTACGGCCTTTGTGAAACATCGTGTGGGCTTCCAGCACACGGTTTTGTATTCATTTATTCTTTGAGGGAGATTGAGGCACATGATGTAGCCTAGGAAAATCCGGCTCCGTTCAGGCCCTAGTTCTGCTCAGCAACAGTTTGAATAATATGTATTTTCGTTTGACGTTGAAATTCCCAAAAAAATCTAAACTCCCGACGCAGCCGTAATCCGGGGACCAATCCGTCGTTTGGAAAACACCAAAAGATAAACGCATGATCTGGCGTCCCGCCTCACTATGTACAAATGTAACCATCTCAAACACGACCAGGTCAGAGTAGTCGGTGCTACCTAATTGCCAAGGTTTATTGTCAAACCGAGAATATGCGGATCTGTAGCCCGACAGTTAATATTAATGTTAATATATAACTGATTACCTATGGGGCGTATAGCTGATTTATGTTCAATCCGTCGCAGTGTGGCATTGTAAGCCAGTATATCAACAACATCGAGTTAGAATTTCCTTTCTGTTAGTGAATCTTCTCACGTTTCTTCACCACCAAACCTGTAAATACCAAGATGTCGCAAAAGACCGTGCAGCAGTTGGATTCATACATTAAGGCAACAGCTGTCGTGTACGACCACTCCAACACCAAACTCATCAGCAGGAAGACTAAAGTCAAACCAAGGAGGAAACAAGCTTTCCTGTCTGTACTGCATTACAGGAAAACGTCTGCGGATGATTGCTGTGCAAAGAGTAGACGATCGAAACAACGGGTTCCACGTCAATTGGGGTGCACAAATGAAAGCCGAAGGTAATCATCAAAGACAGGTTTATTTAGTACAGGACATCGCAAATTATAGAGGACATCGTACGTCGATATTACAGGTTTTCCCGGCCAATTTCATCAAGTTGTCATTCAATTTAGCGCCTGGCTCATTCGGTTTATATTAAAATTGAAAGATTATGCAGATCGTCATTCAACCATCAAAAAGAATCATTCAATTTCACTATCCGAGCAATCTGTCGCATTTTAGCTTCACTCGTCCCTGTAAAAGATGCATTCAAATTGAAGAGTATCGCGTTGTTCATTCAATTTCGTCTGAATTACTAGCAAGGGCTTGATCGTGCATTCATTTTCATTAATGGGCAAACATATTTCACATTTTGTCAAACATCTTTTAAGACTTCATACGTGTCCGTATTCCTTAGCGTAAATCATATTTGATGACTTCAAACCGTAGATTGACTTTCTTTCTTAATTAAAGGGTATGTGCAATGAATTTTTCTCATGAATTCTTTTTGCGCAACTCTGTGAAATGTTAGAAAACTACACATTTGACAACACTTTTGGGGTTAATCTTATTGCAAATGTCCACTTCTTCAAACACTTCAGAGTTTCCATGTTTTCAGGACTAATGCTGTTACTGTGATGTCATTTCAGGAAGACACTGTTCAGTTTAGGGTTGTTCTTTCAAATTATTCATCCAACATTTGCAAATTGAAAACATTTGTGGGAAAGGGTTGGTAATTGGCTTACTGCCATGTACTGACACATCATATAATCACCAAATTAAAGAAATTTATGACAGCAAAGTATCCAAAATTCTAGCAACTTGTTTGCTGAAATAGCTGTATTTTGTAATGAATATGAACGGAGAAGGCACCAAAAACACCCACATAATGGAAAATAAAGCTTGCAAATAAGGTTAAATGTGACAAAAAGATGTATTTTCAAGGTTTGCATTGAAATCTTTGCATGGGCCCTGTGAATATGGTAAGTGTTCGGTCAGACATACGCAAGAAAACATTTCAGAAATAACGCAAGAGAAGTGTTCCCGACGGTACAACCATTGCCAAACATACGTGCCCCGATGTCGTACACGTCAAGAAATCGTCAACGAAAAAAAGCCCCTTGATCAAACGTTTAAACAAGTAGAAAAGATCAACAGTGAAAAAGAAATTATCTTAGTCCCTTTCAATTCATTGTTTCGTTGCATCTTGTTTCCCTCATATCAGTTGATTTGTAACATTGTAAATTTTACAGTCATCAAGGTTTTTTTTTGGGGGGGGAGGGGGTGAACCTCGGAGAAAAATAGGAAAAAAAATTGATAAAAAAATCTTACTAATTTAAATGACCAAACGATGAAAGCGATTGCCAATAAACGAATAACAAACGAAAAGCATGGTTTTAAGTTATAAGCGCACAGATGTTCGCTAATTTGAATGCGTCAACCGTCTTAAGGTTGCAAAGACTTAATTTCAGACAGCTACAAGTTAAGTCTTGAATGCACCAAAACGAAATAGGCTGCCCGAAAACGAAAACGAACATTCACAGCAAAATCTTGGCTGCCTAAAAATGAAATTGAATGAACCCCAAATTAAAAAGAAACCGCAAGTGGACCACATGTGCAAAACTCACGCGAAATTGAATTTCAGATAATGAAACTGATTAGAAAAATTCGGAATTTTGCAAATGTGCACTTCTTTAAACATTTAAAAGTTGTCATGTATTTTTCCGGACTAACGCTGTTACTGTGATGCCATTTCTGGAAGACACTGTTCAGTTTAGGGTTTTTTCTTTAAAATTCTTCATCCAAAATTTGCTAATTGAAAACATTTGTGGGGAAGGGTTGGTCATTGGCTTACTGCCATGTACTGACACATCATATAATCATTAAATAAAAGAAACTTATGGCAGCAAAATATCCAAAATCTAGCAACTTTTTTTCTGAAATAGCCGTGTAACATTAATCATGCTCGGAATGCCATCACATGTTTTCTAATGAATATGAAACTTTGATTAAGCATAAAAACGGAGAAGGCACCAAAAACACCCCTCAAAATGGAAAATAAAACTTGCAAATAAGGCTAAATGTGACACAAAGATGTATTTTCAAAGTTTGCATTGAAAACTTTGCATGGGCCCTGTGAATATGGTAAGTGTTCGGTCAGACATACGCAAGAAAACATTTCAGAAATAACGCAAGAGAAGTGTTCCCGACGGTACAACCATTGCCAAACGTGCGTGTCCCGATGTCTTGCACGTCAAGAAATCGTGAACGTAAAAAAGCCCCTTGATCAAACATTTAAACAAGTAGAAAAGATCAACAGTGAAAAAGAAGTTCTTAGTCCCTTTCAATTCATTATTTCGTTGCATCTTGTTTCCAAAATATCAGTAAATTTGTAACATTGTAAATTGCACATTCATCAAGATTTTGGGGGGGAAATGAACCTCGGATAAAAATAGAGAAAAATATCGATTAAAATCTTTATGGTTATACGTTATACGCGCACAGATGCTCGCTAATTTGAATGCGTCAACCGTCAAAAGGTTGCAAAGACTTAATTTAAGACTGCTACAAGTTAAGTCTTGAATGCGCCAAAACGAAATAGGCTGCCTAAAAATGAAATTGAATGAACCCCAAATGAAAAAGAAACCCCAATTGGACCACATGTGCAAAACTCACGCAAAATTGAATGGCTGATAATGAAACTGATTAGAAAAATTCGGAAATTCGCCGGGAAAACCTATAATAAGGAATGACCAAACGATGAAAGCGATTGCCCATAAACGAATAAGCAACGAAAAGCATGGTAATACGCTTTAAGTGCGCCGACGTTCGCTAATTTGAATGCGTTAACCATAAAAAAGGTAGCAAATACTTAAGTTAAGTTTTTTTTTGATACGTTATCGGTTGATACGGTATCTGTTTTGTGGTTATACATTATCGGATACATTTTTTGGGTAACTACATTATCCGTCGACACGTGATACATTATCGGATACAAATTTTCTACACTATCGGTTACTTGTTGCTACATTATCGGTTAGTGATACAATATCAGTCAATTTGTAATACATTATCGGTTGGTGAAACGTTATCCGTTACTACCTTATCAGTTGTAACACATTCCACACTCTGTATAACACATGCATGCTGGCAGAGTCCACTTGACTAATGTCGTTGGGTCTTCACAAACCACCCGATAGACAGTAGTTTCGCAGCTGTTTCATCTTAGGCCTTCTTTTAGTTAATCCAAAATGAAACCTGGAAAATTTGTTTTTGCTTGCTTGGCTGTACTATATGTCGTTCATAGTGTATGCATGAATTATATGTGCGTTCTAACAATGTCAATATTTACCATACACGAAGGGTGCAATTAACGCAATGTTCCAAAAGTCCAATTTAGAAGTGTTTACCCCTCGTGTGGGCTTCCAGAGCACGGTTTCCATTTCATTTAGTCTGTGATGGAGGCACATAATGTAGGGGAAACCGGCTGCATACAGCCCCTAAATCTGCTTAATCAACATTAAATCTTATAAAACCAAGCCTAGGTTTGAATAGTATCCAATTTTTTTTGGACGTTGAAATTCCAAGAGTTATTTTGAACCTCCCAACGAAGCTGTAAGCCGACGACGAATCCGTAGTTTGGAAAACACCCAAAGATAAAGCCATGAGCTAATGTCCCACCTTATGTACAAATGTAACCATTTCAAACACGACCAGATCAGTGCGACCTATTATTGCCAGTGTTTATTGTCAAAACGAGAAAATGGTCGTCTGTAGCCCAGCAGTTAATATTAATATTAATATATCACTGATTACCTACGGGGCGTATATAGTTAATTTATGTTCAATCCGTCGCAGTAGGGCATTGAATGCCAGTACATGGACAACATCGAGTTGATTTTCCATTCTATGATTGAATGCTTACACGTTTCTTCACCATCAATTCGGTCAAGATGCCGAAAAAGACCGTTCAGCAGTTGGATGCATACATTAAGGCAACAGCCGTCGTGTACGACCACTCCAGCACCAAATTCATCAGCAGGAACACTTAAATCAAACAAAGGAAGAAACAAGCTTTCCTGTCCGTACTGCATTACAGGAAACCGTCTGCGGATGATTGCTGTGCAAAGAGGAGACCATCGAAACGACGGTTTCCACGTCAATTGGGGTGCACAAATAAAAGCCGAAGGTAATCATCAATGACAGGTTTATTCAGTACAGGACATCGCAAATAACAGAGGACATCGTGCGTCGATATTATTAGAGCTTGATAACGAACATGGAGTATTTCGTTGACTAACTGTAACTTGAAGTCCTGATTCATTTTGTTCAAGGAAAATAGATTTTCCAAACCCAAAGAAGCATTTTCCCTTTTTTTACAGCCATGTCATGAAACAGAAGCTACAAATCTTTGTCCAGACTCCCGTCTTACATACACCAAAGACGCTTTGTTTCCGTCTTGATCCAGAGACATCCATCTCAACTCTTAAAGACTGGATACAACAGACGATCGGTGTTGAGGCACGATATCAACGGCTGTACATCCGCAGAAACTTTCAGGTACAAGTTATATTCACTATATACAGCCTCGTGCGCGCTTCATTTCCATCTGGGCCATGTAGAAAAACAGTTTCTCAACCCTGTCTGCTTCCATTTTCTCACCAGCCTTCTATATTCATTGCATCTTTGTTTTCAGTAATTTTGATTGTATGTATTGCCAGTTGCATAATTCACTACCTTTTGGAGACATGTGTACAATAGGGAAGAAGGAAAAAAAACGATTGTAAAGGTCTCCAGAAGGCGATTTTTACAAGTGAATACATACATAGATACATGGATTTGACCAAGGTGTGTTTAGGTTTCGCAAATTGAAGTATTTTATGTCAGGGTATTCGGTCCGAATTTCAGCCCAGGAAAATGATTCAAGTAGGAGCATTTTGAAACTAGATTTTCACACTCTAAAATATTAATACACATAAACAAAGAGATGTCTCCACAAGGATAAAAAATCCCAGTTTCGGCACAATTTATCTATGTATCCAAACTTTAAATTTGATAAAAAAAGCGATGCGTGGCACATTTAGAAATACATTATCTACAAACAAAACGTAAATAGTATACCAATCTATCAGCCATCTTCGAATATCCTCATGTTTTTTGTTTTCAAAAAAGCCCAGACGGGAAACTATTTGTGGTTATACTTTGGCATTATATCCTGCGCACATGCAAAACTGACCTTGATAGCGGGAATCCAGTTGCTTTGCTGGTCGTTTACATTTTTTTGGTAACAACTAAAATAATTTGGACGTGTAAGATATCATTTTGAGACTAGCGTTTGTTGTTACAAACGCAGAGTGGTCGGGCAGGCAATTTGTTCATTAAACACTGCCAAGTTGAGTTATGAATATATTTATCTAAGAACAAAGGATCAAGAAATTAAATCCTTCCCAGTACAATCAATTGTTTGGTTTTAAAAATGCATCTTTAATGGTGTGATAAATTTTAGTAAACATTCAATGTACACATACAAGTTATTTCTGGCTTGATAACGTCGTTAGTCAAAATCGGGAAGTGAATACTGATTTAGTTAGGAGTGGATGTTCATTGTGAAGTTATTGAACGTAGTAACATTTGGAAAATATAAGTGTATGTATTTATAACACCAAACTTCCGGTTTGATGACGTCACAGTATTTGGAAGCAAAAGGTGAACATTGTAATGGTATCGTTATTTAAGCTAAGATATACGACATGGATCAAATAATAAAATTGAATTTTTACAATATGATCGTTGGCAAATTCTCATAGAAGTAACTTCCGGTCTGATGACGTCATGAATTTGAAACCTTGCCAAGTTATCTGTAATTAATCAAAGAATATCAAGGGGCGATTTGGTAAAATTGAATCTATGGTTTTAGAATTAAAGGAAAAAAAACTCTATTTTATGTGTCGCTAGGGGCGCCCTTTCGGATGATGACGTCATCACACTGTTTTTTGTGTCTGGCATTCCCCAATAAACACTTTCATAATATTTGTCTGTAGTAAAATGCTTCCACTTTTGAGTTATATTCAGTTTTATTGCACTTCCGATAACACCGGAAGTAAATAAAGGTCAAGCGGTTTTGTGTCCGGGAACACAAAATATTTCTCACGGCATTTTGTACAACCTTACGAAAAAACAAACACGATACTCTATTTAGTTTAAAAGATAAAACGCAAACTATTTTGTAAAAATGTGCCCTTAAATCGCTTGTTATTTGATAGCTAATGACGTCATGATGACTAACATAATATATAACATCTTCGTAACATGGTACAAGTTCACACAAGGCTTTTTTATCATACCGTTAACCGTTCGGAAGAAATTGTGCTTTGTTTTGATTTCAGGCTAATGTCTTCATTTTGAATTCAACTAACTTTGACCTTCCGGTAGACCCGGAAGTAAAGGTCAAGCGAGTTTACGTACACGACAAAAAAATGTTTAGCAATACATCATTGATTATTTAGTTCAAGAGTTATAGGTGAAAGTAATTGGTCACTTTTTCAGCTAAAATCGTTTGTAATTTGACACCCGATGACGTCATAATGACGTCATAGTAATATGCACCACTTAGGATTAGGGTCGATATTTATGGAAAGTTACAAGTTCCTATCATAAACTGTTTAGGAGAAAACCCGCAGAAACGTGCTGTACGGGAAAAAAAGAACCAAACAAAGAAGATTTATGAGAACAATTCTAGGCAGTGGTCGGGTTGTGCCCGACCACTCGGTAATGTTCGGTTTATTCCACAGTTCCGAATGAATGGTGAAGAACGAGCCATACAAACACTGTCTATTAAATAGTGTCGGGTTTCAAATATCTGCGCAATAAAACCTGAAACGATTCAAAATATTTATACAATCCAAACAAATCCACTGGAAAATATCAAGAAATCTTTCTCTTCCTAAATCTTTCACAGCTTTGTGACTTGTTGACGCTTGAAGATAATGGCATCGAGAAAGACGAGAACATCTCACTTCGTCTATCATTTGATGGTTTACTTGGCGGTGGACCAAAAGGTAGAGTCTGACAGAAAATAAGATATTGGTTCAATCAAGCAAATGCTCCAATAATGTCCTTAACTAAGTATGGCACGAAAATGCACGTGTATTAAACTGTCCGGCTTCGCGATTTTCGCTGATCTTCTGTAACATTACATTCTTCAAGGACAAGTAAAAAACATTACCAAGAAACCCGGACTGACGGTGTTTTCATATATTGCACATTGACTCTAATCTTTCTTGGTAATTTTTATATCAAATAAGTAATTTTGAATTACAGAATGACCTGTGGGGTCTCCTTTTTATTATTGTATATTTCTTAAACATACACTTTTACTATAAAACTTAAAGTTATCACATCTTTTGCTTTGACATTTTTAATACATAGAATAAATACATCACTTAATATAATTTTTACCATTATTTGAGTGTCTTTTGTTTACTATCATCTATATTTCATTTCATTTTCATTTCAGAAACATTTATTTCCACATGAATAAGCACTTTAGAAAACAAAACAATTGTTACATGAAAACTACTAAGTGGACGCATTACACAAGAAGCCGAAGGTTATAAACGGAATGCCTTAAACACAGCAAAAAAAAAAATATATATATATATATATGAACAATACTGAAAAAGGAAGAATAAATTCAAAAGACAAAACACAACAAAACAAAACAATGAAACAGAAACAGACAAACAAACGGAGTGGACATAAACTTAATAAGCTTTACAGACGGACATACGAAACATACTAGTGATACAACGACAAAGTTTATAAAATGGATGAAAAGACAAACAAAAGACAAAGCAAACTATGCTATATACTGGGAGATAAGATGGATCTTGAAAGCGGTTTAAATCGGCCAACAGAGGACTGCGATTTCATAGACTGACTGAGTCCATTCCATAGACGAGGTCCATGAAAACGAAGTGTTCATCACGTATGATGTGCGTGCAAGAGGGATGTAGTAGTTATTCTGTGATCTAGTATGGTATTGATGAATATCGTTAATTGAGGTGAAATATGAGGAGAAAGTGCGAGGAAGAAGGTTATTAGTATATTTGTACATTATTATACCAGTTTGAAGTGTATTGATGTCGGTGATTTGTTAGTGTGTGTTATCTGGCAAACAAGGGTGCTGTGTGATCACGAGGATGGGACAGTGTGCAAATACGAATAGCCCTTTTCTGTACGGTAATAAGAGATTTAAGTGTGTCAGTGCTTGTGCGTGCCCACACAATATTGCAGTAGTTCAGATAGGGGAGAATGAGAGTATTGTAAAGATAAAATAAAGTGGTAGATGGGAGAAAGGAGCGGAGCTTAGAAAGTACACCAGTGTTACGGCTGATGACTTTGGAAACAGTAGTAATGTGGTTGGACCAGGAAAGTTTGTCGTCGATGGTAACACCCAAGAATTTTGTGGAATGGACTTTACTAATGGCAGTATCATTGATTTTAACTGTTCCATTACCACATATATTCTGAGACCTGGAGAAGACAATTTATTTAGTTTTGCTTGAGTTGAGAGAGAGTTTGTTGGCTTGAAACCAGGAAGAAACTTTAGTAAGCTCGGTATTGAGGTTACTGACCAAGGAATCAAAGTCTGTATGAGACGAAAGAATAGTAGTGTCATCAGCGAAAAGAATAAACGACAAAGTGTAAAAGGAGCAGTGAAGATCATTAACATATATAAGGGAAAGAAGAGGACCAAGAATAGAATCTTGAGGCACGCCATGATGAATTATTTTTATATTATATCAGAAAACCACTGATGACAGATGCCTCTAATGCCGTAATGTTCAAGTTTAGAGAGAAGAATAGAGTGGTTGATAGTATCAAAGGCTTTAGAAAGATCGATAAAAACACCAATAGAAGATAGCTTATCAGAAAGAGAGTTGGACAGAGAATCAACAAGTTGGATCAGAGCCATATCAGTAGAGTAACTGGTCCGAAAACCGAACTGCCGGTCATAAAGAAGATGAAATTGGGAAAGGAATTTGAAAAGTTGCTTATAGACAAGCTTTTCTAAGAATTTTTAAAAAACAGGGAAGAACAGAAATAGGACGATAGTTACACAAATCATGGCGATCGCCAGCTTTGAAAACAGGGGTAACCTGAGCAATCTTAAAGGGAATATACTTCATTTGCTTTTGCTGTAATTTTCAGAAATGGATGGAATTGGGGGGTTGGAAATATATAGCAAATATAGTTACACTGACTTTTTTGAGGTTTTGGGTTCGAAAATGCTATAAAAACCAAGAAAACGATCATTATCCTGTAGTCTGGTTCCCTGACTCCATATAAGAAGAAACAGAGCAGTTTACATACATTGGGGAATTGTAAGGTCAGAGAACCAGTCTAGCTGGCTCGTACCCGTTCATAGGTTTGTAATCGATTGCAAACAAGTGCGATGGTCAATTAGGGCCAGTATTTGAAAAAAAGGCCAGTTGTTTCCAACGCTGATCGGCCGATCAGCGTTGGAAATTGATACAAAAAAAACCGCTTTTCTTGAAAATAACAGTATACCAGGTGCCATGATTTTACAGGATGCTTTACACTGTCATTCACAAACAGTCCAGCAAGGTATTTCAAAATGATTTGGTAGTTTAATTTTTTGATGTTTGCAAATGTTGTATTTTCCCTGTAAGATTAGAAGGTACAGATCCAGTTAGAAAAGAGAGATTAAAGATGTGAGCCAGTTGATGAGGGATAAAAGGAATAGAAGACTTGACAACAGAAGGGTGGATAGCATCAAACCCACAGCACGTATCACCTTTAAGATCTTGAACAATCTGAAAGATTTTATCAGAGTCGGTTGGTGTAAGGAAAAGAGAAGAATTGTTAGAGATGTGCAAATAGTCTGTGAAGTGTACATTTGAAGGAGGGATTTTGTTGGCAAGTCTGGAACCAATATTAGAGAAGTAGTCATTAAAAGAGTCGGCAATATCTGGTAAGTTGGAAATAATCTGCTGGCCATTGATGAAGTTGTCTGGCAGATCTTCTTTCTTGTTCTTGCCAAGGATATTGTTGATCTCACGCCAAGTGCTTTTTGATGTTGTTTCTTTTAGCGGAGAAACTGCTGGCATAGTGATTATGTTTGGCCATACGAATGACTTTGGTAAGACGATTACGAAAGGCTTTGTACCTTTGTTCATTGGCCTTTGTTGGCTTTTGCAGAAATCGTCGGTAAAGCCTTTGTTTGTAATTGCACGATTTCAATATGCCCCTAGACATCCATGGCTGGTTGTTCCTTGTTCTACCTCTTTTCTTTGTAACAAGTGGAAAGTGGTGATTGTAAAGATCGGTGAAGTTAGTAAGGAAGGTGTTATAAGCGCTTTCGGCATCAGTACATTCATAGACTTGACTCCAGTCGTTGTACTGAACATCTGCATCGAAGGCTTGAAGTGTGGTGCTGTTGATGTCTCTGGTAGTATATGTGCTGGGAGGGGGGTTATAACGAATGAAACAGTCAGGGGTGATCTGAAAAAGAGGAAGATGATCAGAAATATCAGCGTGAAGTATTCCAGCAGTGCAAGTGTTGGTATCGTTGTTAGTAAGAATGGTGTCTATGAGAGTAGCACTATGTGGGAGAAATACGAGTGAGTTTGTGTAGACCATATGAATAACAAGTATTCGCAAAATCCTCTGTTGGTCGATGAGTAGAACACTTGTGCGAGTCAAGGTTGAAGTCTCCCATGATATAGCACAGTTTTTTTCTCAGAACTGATTTTGTTTAGGCAGAAATCAAAGGAACTATTGAAATGATCAGTTGATGTACCAGGAGCTCTGTAAATATTACCAACAATAAGATTACAACCACTGTCACGTTTGATCTCAATAAAGACACATTTGAAGTCGACACACGAAATCATGAGATCATCTCTGGTGTTGACATTAATAGATAGTTAGAAAATATCAGATGATATTTTTGTCGTTAGTTTTATTCATAATATTTTAGTTAACCTTTATCCATCATTCACTTTAATCTCGTACTTAATGCCACCCGATTTATTAACTTTAATCTTTCTAATAGTCCATCTCTCTACTTTGCTACTTGTTATAAATCTACACCTTGACTGCTTAAAAACTTAGTGATGCTGATTTTAATTATTTTTTTGTGAGTGGACGGTGGAGCGGTGGAGGTGAAATTTGATTATGTCAAGTAGGAAATGGCTGCTGTCTTGTTGCAGGCACAACTATCAATGAGGCTGTACACGTATCTCTGTGTATGTCTTGGATGTACAGGCTTCAGTTCTTTTCAATGGTTATATAACCATTTCAATGGTTATATAACCTTGTACTGAATGGGATTTGGCTTTCTGTTTTGTTCCCTATAAATAAGCCTTTTCTGAGTTCCAACTGCGCGCATTCGTAACCTGTGACAACGCACATTATTTGTCTCAAATGCCCTTTGACAGTACCCACAATGCACAAACAGCCTTTCTGTAAAGTCAGTGGCGCGATGTTGTCAAAGGTCATTTGAGACTAACAATGCGCGTTGTCACAGGTTATGAATGCGCAGTTGGAACTCCGAAAAGGCTGATCCTTGTATATTAGGCCGTCAGCTGGACTGGAAAATTCGTTCGTTTCGCTCCAGCAATCGCGGGTCTAAAATTGTTTAACAGTTGTACCGAAATACACTACCAAAGAATGATACTACAAAAGTTCTCCACATTTCGTCCAGCAGTTTTTTGATAATTTGACTCGAAAAGGCGAACTATTATTTGTCCATTGTGGACGTTCAAAAACGTACCGCGCCTACGTTAAAAATCCGCCGCGTATGACGCATCGTACCACTTGACTTGAACTGTCCAATTAGACACCAGATATGAGGTCGCAGGTCATGACATTTAACAAACATGGCGGCGTCCATTGGCAAAAGTGCGTCAACGTAAACATCGACCGGTGCAAAAAAGAAGTGTTTGCACTCATAATCTGTCACGTTTGAGGGGGTAAATGCGAAGGATCTGATGTCCGGTGGTAGTAAGTTCATATCCTGTGCCAAAGAGTGGCTGAATTTCACAATGGCATCGCCGAATATACCCACGATGTGTGGGCAGTGGATCTGCTATGTCTGTATCGTTGTACAGTACTACTACTACTACTACACCATGCACAACCGGCGCATGTAAACAAGGCAGTCCGGCCGGCCGATCTCACCCGTGGCGGTTTTTATAGATAGTAAACGTCTCGGTGCTGCAAGAAAACGCAAACCAGACACTCCAGCTGAGACCCAGATTTCTTCACCGAAAAAGCTCCGGGCAAAGTTCAAGTTTCTTTTAATTGCCTATCTACATAACTGTGTCATGCTG